TTGATATGGAGTACTCAAGGTGGCTGGAGGAACATCATCGTCTCATGTGTGAGCTTCGAAATGCAGTGACTGAACATTTTCCGGAGAACGATCTTCGAATTTACGTTGAAAATTGTGTCACACATTACGATGAAATGATGAATCTGAAGAGCATGCTTGTAAAATCCGATGTCTTTCATCTTATTTCCGGCATGTGGAAAACTCCGGCGGAGCGTTGTTTCATTTGGATGGGAGATTTCCGCCCATCCGAACTCATCAAGGTACGTGTGTATGTACTATCAGATCGCCTAAAATATAATTACAGTTAAGTATATATTCTTGATATGTGAAATTGGTAACTTGGAAAACAAAGCCAATTACTTGTTACAACATGCTAAAATATGCACAGGTAACATTAAAAAATTGACATAATGCATTTACGTTGCTTAAAATCCTAATACAAAACCCTAATTTTCGTAGGATATAAATACTATTCATTAGGTCCCAATTTTTATTTTATTTTTAAATTTTGTTCTAAAAAATGATGTCTTTCTATTATTGAAATAGAAACAATTTAGCTTTGAAATACTTTATAATTTTCGAAGCAAAATTAGATAAGATCAACTCAATATTTTATATTTAAATCTTTTAGATATTCAAAAACTATACGATAAGTACTACAAATTGCAACTTTCTTATATGAATTTGATAAAAAATAATATATATATATATTAGTCAAAGTTCATATAATTTGACGCTCGAAATGCAAAACACAACAACTGAGACGGAGGGAGTACTATTTTACCTTTAACAAAATAATTTATTTTAGACCACAAATTTAAAACACCTTTTTTTTTCTTCATAAATTTCGTGCAAATACTCAAACATCGTCACATAAATTGATTCTAATTTCTTTACTTTCTGTGTCATATCCTTATATTATGGGTGAATATATTATTAGGTGTATATTTGGGAGTTTTTATGTATATTGAGATGAGCTAATTTTTGTTAATGATGCATGATTAATAGATAATCCTGAGTCAGATAGAGCCATTAACTGAACAACAATTTGTGGGAATATGTGGATTACAACAATCAACACAAGAAGCTGAGGAAGCTCTCTCACAAGGGCTGGAAAATCTGAATCAATCAGTTTCAGACACAATTGTCTCTGATGCATTATTGGCTAACTGCCCTCAAAACATGGCTAATTATATGGGACAAATGGCTCTTGCCATCAACAAACTCTCCACTATTGAAGGCTTTGTTAGACAGGTACACACATATATAGTCCCTTATATAGACACAATTATTTATAAACTCATATAGTAATTATATACTCCCTTCAATCCAATTTATGTGACGGCAACAATAACATGCTCAATGTAATATCCTATAAGTGGAAAACGGAAAGGATGGTGTTTTACGTAGATCTTATCCTAACTTGTGAAGATAGAGAGGTTGTTTCCGATAGACCCTCAACTGAAGTAAAACATATGAAATCTGTACAATATCTAAAAATGAAAAGATATTTTTTTGAAATTTACGAATTAAAACATGTCATAATAATAACTGTGTGACTATAAATCTCATATTTCAAAGAGACTATCCGTAGATATTCTTAATTAGGTGACCTGATGGTATAAAATAACTTCTAGATTGACATATTGTATATAAATAACTTATTTTATTTGTTTATTGGATTATAACTTATACCCTAAAGTATAAAAACTATTTTCACACTACTAGTGTTTACACTTTAACATGTTGTAATGAGTAACCTGCCTTATTTCAGGTTACAATCTTATCTCTATTTTTCAAATGAACGGTTACATGTTGTAGTTATTTTTTTAAGTGAGTTAATACCGTAAAAATACATAAAAGTAAAACTATTACTATTATTTTTTTAATGCTAAAATAAATCTCTTCACATTAGCAGTTGAGATAGAGTCAAAATTAAGTGATTTTGATAGATTGGTAGGGCCAAGATAGAAGAAGTACTATATCTACTCTTGGTTTAGTTAGAAAACCTACTCCATCATGTATGACCTATTCTCACCAGCTCATTTTTCCATATATAGACTTCATTTAATCAGTGTGACCAATATTTACCTACAAGAAATAATTAACCTTGAACTCTTCTTGTTTGCAAATATATCATTTGTGTACAAAATTTATCTAAAATTTAAGCCTTTCTAACTCGGTCCTACCCAGTCGTCCTCCACGACTGACTTTTCAAAAGGCGGAATGCTCAAACTCTTTTATTCTTTTTCCTGCCCTCCGCCTCTTACTTCATTTCTTTCTTCTTGTGTTCAATCACCATATTCCTTTTCTAGAAACTATTAATCGAAGTACTTAGCAATAACATATTGTGGTTCAAGTACTAAAGATTATATTATATGGTTTCATCTATGTATAGGTGCAAAATAAGTTTTCTTGTCTTGTATATTAAAATGTCATTTTTTGCATGAATTTCAGTACAAAACAACACAAGAGTACAAATTTGTAAAACTAATACTTCCAAATATATAGAGTAGGGACCAAAAAATGTTAACTTTTAGGCCCATACATTTTGTATGAATGAAGTCATATTCATAAGCCTATTGATTTAGAACACAATAGATAAGAGCTCGATCGAACCTAATTACTTTTACAAATAGTATTTACGTTAAAAATTCATTAAATATCTACACATCAAATTAAGAATTCAGATATATTAACACTTGAAAATTGAAATTATCTAATATTTAAAACCTATTAAACAAAATTTCTGACTCATGTATCTCTTTTCAAGTCATTCAGCAGTTTGCTCATGAATATAAAGTAGTTATAATATGTACATGTTCTATAATATCAAAATTCTATAATTCCACCAGCTAATAGTAGCTGTCTTTTCACATTCTAAATTTGTAATAAAAATCTTACATTAAGTCAATAACTACCCTGGTATATATTTTTTTACACTGATTGCGATTTAAAACATTAATGAAATAAATATAATAAAAATCCCTCCAAAGTCAAATTAACATGAATTGACTACTTCTTACTTAACTATCTATAAAAAATACGAGTTAATGACTATTTTTCAATTACAGGCTGATAATTTGAGACATCAAACAATTCATCGACTTCATCAAATCTTGACGAGCCGTCAAGCTGCAAGGTGTTTTTTGGCAATTGCTGAATATTTCCATAGGCTAAGAGCTCTCAGCTCTCTTTGGGTGGCTCGGCCTCGACAGGAATAACTTAAAACTTTTAATTAGCTAGCTAGCCATGTTAATTATAATTTCTATAGGTTCTTAATAAATTTTCTCTAAAATTACTCTTTTTTTTGTTATTTTTATATTTTCCTTAACCCTTTAGTTTATATAGATAGATGTATAGATAAACAAAAGAAATTACTAGTGTAAAATTATGAAAGTAGAACTTAATGATTTCCTTTTAATTATGTCTTCTTTTTCTTCACATTGATTATTATATAGAGACTAGAGAGATCTCACAAAAAAATTAATTAAATGTTTGTTAAAGTTAAATCAGTATGTATAGCGGCTTGCATTTCGGGGTCTAGTATGATAAAAATGTACCATTTAAATTTAAAGATAAGTTCTATCGAGTGGTGGTTAGATCGACTTTGTTGTATGAGACAGAGTTTTAATCAGTCAAAGACGCTCATATTCATGTGGTGAAAGTGATGTTGAGATGGATGTGTAGGCATATTAGAATAATTTGAGGGAAGGCAGATGTGCAGATGCGCAGCGAGAAGGTGTGAGAGGTTAAATATAGTGAAAACGAGGAGGTGTGAAATGTGTATATATACAGATACAACTCTATCTTGGGAAGATTAAACAGTTTTGATCCATAAATTATTGATTTGTTCTAAATATTGATAGTTGTGATATCAGGACTGATTGCATTTAATAATCTATGTCATTTGATACTCATAAGGCTGACGCATACTAATAAGCAATAATTAGGGTCGCTTGGTTTGGTGTGAGGGATACGAATAAATAGTTTTGGAATAAAAAAATAGTTCTGAGATTAAATTTTGGTGTCTTGTTTGGGATAACTCATTCCACTATTTATATCATAGTGATGAGATCAGTTATCCCATATACATGGTGGGATAAGTTATCTCAGGATAATTAATCCTATGATAACTTGTTTCCAACCAAATGACCCCTTATAGTCTTTGATTAGTCACGAAAAGTGTCATAATACATGAATATGTTTTATTTTAACTTGGTCTAGACTTGCATCTATTCCCTCCAATTTGGGTATGCACAAGTTGGTATTGAAACTTGAATAAAGTTGAACAATTAGACATACATGTTATATGTGGCATGATACACGTAGGATGTCGTGTAGGATGCGAATTGCCAAGTAAGACACACATGTCTATTTGTTCGACTCCATACGTGTTTAGGTGTTAGTTATGCACACCAAAAGTTGGAGGACATAAATGTTAATTAAAACAATTATCATACATTAATCAAAGCAAATCATTGGGATTTGTTAGTGGAGAAACTAAAGCACATTCCTGATAAGTACAAGGTTCAATGCATTTAGTGGTATGATATTAGAACTTGTCAAGAATTCATGGATCAGGACTGTTAATCTTCCCAAAACAAAATTAAAGAGGGAGTGTGTGTGTATATATATGTGTACTAATGTCTCTAACAACAATGTGCACTGAAATTGATACTTTAGGAGAATAGCAGAAAATGAATGATTTCGTTGACAAAAAAACTAAGCCCAATGCCCGTAGAGGAGGGCAGTCATCGCGAATGAGTCAGTTACTACGAGCTTTTTGGCTAATGTATCTGATCGTCCTCCTCCGTGTGACGTTGTCTTAAATCACTTCAGCTATCGTCATCCATTGCTTCGATTGCATCTTCGAGAGAGTGAAGGAATCAAATGCAGCTTTTGCAATATCATCATCTCTGGTTGGGCTTATGCCTGCGAGAAGCATTGTGATTATTACCTTCATGAGGTGTGTTGTAATTTCCCTAGAAAAATTCACCATGATTTTCTATGACCACACTCTTATTCTAAGGCCGTTTCAGTTGTCCAACAACAATGAGCAGTTTCATTGCAGGGCTTGTGGCTTCGATGATTCTGAACTTTCTCTGTTCCAATCATACTATTGCTGTGACTCGTGCAATTTCAATCTTCATGTTGAATGTGCTTCTATACCCATAACTTTGAACCATAAAAAGAAATACCCACTTCATCTGTTCCTTTCCTTCCCAATAACCAGTGAGGCTGCTGCTCTCTTTTGCTCAATTTGTGCTAAAGAAGTTCCCACTTCGGGATGTTGGGTATTTTACAACCACGATCATGATTACCTCTGTCACTTTGAATGTGCTGCTGTAACTGAATATGCAACAAATAATGATTCCATGAGTGAACTTCAAACCCGACTACAAACTCTGGTTCTAACTAACTCCCCTCCTACACCGCCTGATCTATCGTGTGGAGATGTCACTCATTACCATGCTCTCAGAGAGTTCGTCTCATCCTGGCCCTTGAGGTTCAACTTGTGTGAGTTTACTGTTTTTTCTGGGTACATTTGCAGTGATTGCAATTACTTTATCGACAAGAATTGCTTCTCCATTCCATCCAAGATTCAACACATGTCTCATCCCCAACACCCTCTCAAATTTACTCGCTACACAGATTTTATGCATGAGGATCTTAAATGCACAGGCTGTGATGCTGATTTCAAACACTTGGGCAACGGCAGGGCGTACTATTGCACCCAATGTAAATTCATTATTAATCGTTATTGTGCTTCAGCTCCCAAGAGCTTGACCTTGGAGGATAATGTCTCTTACGAGCTCTTCTTTTCATTCCCCTTCAAACACGGGAATGCAGAGATCGATTGCAACATTTGTTCCGATGTAGTGGTGATTAAAGATGGACTGTTTTACTATAATCGTGAGTGTCATGAAGCTTTGCACGTTATTTGTGCCCTTGATGAAGAAGCCGGATTTGATAATGACAAGATGGACATGTTATCTATTCAACGCTTACAGGAATTGAGGATAATTTGATTAAACAGAAAGGACATCCGTTCGCCTTAATAACTAGCAAGATTGGAGCTTTTCTATCTGGTGATTGTTTTTTTTGCAGTATGTTATATGTTGGTATTTATCTTATTTTTTTCTGTCATTTTTGTTTCATGCTGGTGTGATTGTGTCTGCTGTATGATTTTAAATGGAGAAAGGAACTCATCTAAATTATCTAATTGGCATAATTGTGTTGTATAGCTGTCTCGTTTTTCTTTTTTATTACTGATTTGTTTTGCTTGAACCAAGGGTCTTTCAGAAACGACCACTCTACCTGGTAGAGGCAGTGGTTAGGTCTGGGTACACTCTAACCTTCCCAAACTTCACTTTGTAGGATTTCACTGGGTTTGTTATTGGCATACTTGTGTTGAATATACTATGGGGTTGTTTGGTTCGTGAACAAAGTTATGTAGGGATTATAATTTTGTGATTGATTCTAGAGCATAGCGGTGGGATAACCTGTAGGCTGTTGCTTAATACTAGGAGTGGGCATAAATCATCGAAAACTGAATTATCGAACTGAATGGATGTCTTGATTGACCTATGCCAACAAATTCATTATGTTAGGGCTTGATAGAGTAATCTAACCTCCATACGTTATTACTCTAAAAGTTAACATGTTATAAATTGGACAAATTATGAACATACCTTTTCCTTCAATACGTAATTACCGACGTACCAAAATTTGATTTACCAGACATAGTTCGGTATTTGATATCTACTTTTATAGTATAATATTGAACCGAATACCAAACGCTCATCCCTAATTGACAATATGCGTTGAGTGACAATAACAAGAAGAAGAGAAGAAATATGCATAAGAAGAGGAGAAATATGCATACTTCTGTCTTGGGAAGTGCTATGATTAATTAGCATTAAGAAAAAAAAATAAAAATTTTGTTTTGTTTACAAAGCATGTGATTGGGCTTAGCCATTAAATTTATTGGTGGAGGAATCAAAGCTCACGCCTGATCAATGTAAATGTAATCACAAACATCACTATTTGGAACATATCAACAATTTATGGATTTATCTTCCCAAAACAAAAGGAAACAGAGAGAGTAGCTGCAAAAAATCTATATATTTGTACATAAACAGTTTGTATCCACAAGGAAGTTTCAGTAAAAATTGAGAATGAGTGGAGTTGACAAGGGAACTGATCCCAATGGCACCTGTAGAGGAGGGCAGTCGTTGCGAATGAGTCAGTTACTACGAGCTGCTTTTGCTGTTGTATAAGATAGTCCTCCTCCTCGTGACGTTGTCTTAAATCACTTCAGCCATCGTCATCCATTGCTGCGATTGCACCTTCGAGAGAGTGAAGGAATCAATTGCACCTTTTGCAATATCAGTATCTCTGGTTGGGCTTATGCTTGTGAGAAGCATTGTGGTTATTACCTTCATGAGGTGTGTAGTAACTTCCCAAGAGAAATTCACCATGATTTTCATCCCGGCTATGACCACACTCTTAATCTTAGGCCGTTTCAGTTGGCCAACAACGATGAGAAGTTTCATTGCGCTGTGTGTGGTGATGATGATTCTGTTCATTCTCTATTCCAGTCATACTATGGCTGCGAGTCGTGCAATTTCAATCTTCATGTTGAATGTGCTTCTGTACCTATAGATTTATCTCGTAATGTGAAATATCTGCTTCATCTGTTTGTTTCATTCCCAATAACCAGTGAGGCTGCTACTATCATTTGTTCAATTTGTGCTAAAGATGTTCCCAGTACCGGATGCTGGCTATTTTACAACCATGAGCATGATTATCTCTGTCACTTCAATTGTGCTGCTGTATCAGAATATGGAATGGAGAATCATTCTATGGGTAAACTTCAAAACCGGCTGTAAACTCTGGCGAAAACAAATCATCCTACTAGTACACTTACAGGTCAACCGTGTGGGGACGTTACACATTTCTCACACCGCCATGCTCTCAGGGAATATAACTTGGCCAAGCCCCTGGTATGCAGCTTGTGCGACATTGATTATTTGACAGGGTACTTTTGCAGTGATTGCAATTACTTTATCGAAAAGATTTGCTTCTCGGTTCCATTCATGATTCGACATATGTCTCATCCTCAACACCCTCTCAAGTTAACTTGTTACTTGGATTATCAAAATGAGAATGTCAATTGCTTGGGCTGCCAAGGTGGATTCCAAAATGGTCGTAGCAGGGCCTACTATTGCGCTCCATGCAAATTAATTATAAATCACCAGTGTGCTGGAGCTCCCAAGACCTTGACTCTGGCAGACAATGTCTCTTACGAGCTCTTCTTTGAATTCCCCTTTAAGCAAGAGAATGCAGAGATCAAGTGCAACATTTGTTCCAAGAAAGTGGTGACCAAAGATGGAATGTTATACTATAGTTTGAAGCGTGATGAAGCTTTGCACGTTGTTTGTGCCCTGAAAAGTGAATCCAACAATGATGTGACCAAGATGGACAGGTTATCAGTTCATCGTTAAACGAAGTGAAGATATCTGAGTAAACTGAAATTAGTTCCTCCACAAGACTGGAAGTTTAGTAAAGTTGCAGTATGAAGGTGTTTGTTTTTGGCAGTGTGTTTGTTTCTTTACTTTTTCACTTTTTTATTTCCAGCCGGTGTGCTTGTATATCTGCTGTGTGATTTCCAGCTGGTGTGCTTGTATACTAATTGCCAGAGTTAATATTTCAAAAGGTAACTCAACTTTAAGAATTTATTTAGTAAAGTCATTAAACTTTATTTTGTATCAATAAAATTACTCAACTTAAACATTTATATCAATAAAATCACTTTATTATTAAAAAAATATTGACTTGGCAAAACAATTTTTTTTATGCGATGTAAACATGGATCCCACAAATAAATAAATTAATGGGTCCATATTTACATGACATAAAAAAAAAAAATATTATTAAGAATTGAAATATCTTATTTACGTGAGAAATACTTTCCAAAGTAAAGTTTTTTATTTTTATTTGTTGATAATTTTTTGCAGTAACATATAATTAATTGAGTTTACTGTTAGAAGTCTAACGATAACTTTTGATTTGCCTTCTTATTTCTCCGAATTAAAAACTTTTACAATATCCAAACGTATGAACTTTAATTTGGGGTCTAATACGCCTAATTGACTTTTCAGAAACTTTTTTTTTTTTTTTTAAACTTTGAGCTCTAAAGATTAGACAGAATTGGGAAAACAAGGAAAATAGAATAAGAGTAAATTTGGATAAAATGTGTGTTTACTAGTAATTGTCAGTATCATTTTGACTGTACAAAAAATTTGGCTCAGTAATTATATAAGAAAAAAAAACTTAACTTCAGTGATTTTATTGATACAAAACAAACTTTAATGACTTTGTTAGATAAATTCACAAATTTGAGTGACCTTTTGAGATATTTACTCCTAATTGCTACTAGCTACTGAACTCTAGAGATAGCTATGGATTTTTTATGTAAAGTTGCGGACAAAGTCACAGATTGGTATAGAGCAACATCAAATCTGAATTAATAGTTGAGATCAACTAGTCCTATTTCTCAAAAAAAAAAACACACAAACTTTTACTCTATATTTCATTGTAGGAGAAAAGCTAATATGAACAAAAATAATCTGTTTAAGGATTTAAAAATTTCAATTTCCAGAAGGGCATTGCTTTTTCAAGAACATTTTTTTCAAATCTTTTAAAAAGCAGGTGCTTTGGTTGTTATGAATGTGGTCATAAAAAAAAAAGAGGTAGTGGACTAGTAGTTGAGAATATAAAATTTACAAGTTAGGTAAACAACAAACTTGTTTAGGTTCAGAAGCACTAACTTCTTAAATTATCTCAACAAGTATACTATATGGAATTATTTTATCTTCACTACTTTAAGCCTAAATGCTCAGCTTATAAATCTCAGTGAATATATTACTGGGAAGAAAACAACCAAATTCTTCCTTGCATCTTTCATTCATACAAAAAACACCATTGCAGATTTTTGGAAACAGATCAGAAAATGAATGGTTTAGTTGACAAGGAAACTAAGCCCAATATCTGCAGAGGAGGGCAGTCACTGCAAATGAGTCAGATACTACGATTTCCTTTTGCTGATACCTCAGATAATGAGGGTGCCTTAAATCATTTCAACCATCGTCATCCATTGTTTCAATCGCACTTTCGACAGAGAGAAAGAATCCAATGCAGCTTTTGTAACATTGTCATCTCTGGTCGAGGTTATGCCTGCAATAAACATTGTGATTATTACCTTCATGAGGTGTGTAGTAACTTTCCAAGGGAAATTCAGCATGATTTTCATCCTGGATCTGACCACAATCTTATTCTCCGGCCCTTTAAAGCCACAAACCGAGAACAGTTTCATTGTGCTGCTTGTGGACATGATGATTCTGTTCATTCTCTGTTCCAGTCATACTATGGCTGCGAGTCGTGCAATTTCAATCTTCATGTTGAATGCGCTTCTATACCCATAACCTTGGACCAAAAAGTGAAATATCCGCTTCATCTGTTCCTTTCTTTCCCAATAACCAGTGAGACTGCTACTCTCTCCTGCTCAATTTGTACTGAAGTTGTTCCCACTTCTGGATGCTGGCTATTTTACAACCATAAGCATGATTACCTCTGTCACGTCAATTGTGCTGCTGTATCAGAATACGGAGTGGAGAATCATTCCATGGATAGACTACAAAACCGGCTGCAAACTCTGGCAACAACAAACCGCCCTCCCACAACACTTGAAGGTCAACCATCTGGGAACGTTACACATTTCTCTCACCGCCATACTCTCAAGGAATATAACTCGGACAAGTCCCTGGCATGCAACTTGTGCCGTTCTAAATACTTCAAAGGGTACTTTTGTAGTGATTGCAATTACTTTATTGATAGAACTTGCTTCTCGGTTCCATCTATGATTCAACATATGTCTCATCCGCAACACCCTCTACGGTTAACTTGCTACTTGGATTATCAAAATGAGAATGTCAATTGCCGGTGCTGCCAGGTTAACAAAGAAAGTAGTCATAACAGGGCCTACTATTGCGCTCCATGCAAATTCATTTTGAGTTGCCAGTGTGCTGGAGCTCCCAAAACCTTGACGCTGGCAAGCAATGTCTCATACAAGCTCTTCTTTGAATTCCCCTTTAAGCATGAGAATGCAGAGGTCAAGTGCAAAATTTGTTCCGAGAAAGTGGTGATCAAAGATGGACTGTTGTACTATAATCTAGAGCGTGATGAAACTTTGCATGTTTCTTGTGCCCTCACAAACGAATCCAAAAAGAAAATGACCAGTTTAATTCCACGGTTAAATGAAGTGAGGATAACTGAGTAAATCGAAATTAGTTCCTCCTCAAGACTGGAAGTTTAGTACAGTTGCAAGTATGAAGGTGTTTGTTTTTTGGCAGTGTGTTATGTCTTGATGTGTGTTTGTTTCTTTGCTTTTTCCTTTTTTGTTTCCAGCTGTTGTGCTTGTTTATCTGTTGTGGTGATTTTGGTAATGTTACTGCTATGTGTTGTCTTATCTTGGAATGAAAGCTCTATTGCCTTCTTATTTTTATGGTTAGGCTTAATTTAACTCTTCTTGTGTTGAAATATCTATTATTCATGGGAAACAGAGTTGAGTTACTATTATTCATGCGCAGAAAGCAACTTAATGAACTGTATAAGCACAAATCTAGACTATTCCTTTGCCATGTTCCGATTAAACCTTGTACTGGCTGAGTAACTAGTCATTCATCTAATTCTGAAAGAGAAGGGAAGAAGTCATCTAGACTATTCCATTGGGTGCTTTCTACGTCCCCAACAGAGGTAACTCTGTCCACCAAAGCTTTAGACCTATCGGAAGAAACTGGAAAGGAAATACTTTTCCAAAAATTGGAGAGAATGTATGGACGAATCTGATCTTTGAGTACTTGGCAAGCAAATGGAAAATTCCAAAAAGCAACAATAACATTTCCTTCTTTTCTTCTTTGTAGTGTCTGCCATTGCAAGAAAGCATATATTTTGGGAATGTCGTAACATGAGTTTGAGTGAAGGAAGATATGGAATCAGATGTTCACTACTTTAATATGTTAGCTAATCAATACTCTCACTTTAAAGATACTATTTTGTCAGCTTATAAATCTCTGTGAATTTGTTGCTTCGAATAACACAATCAAACTCTCCCTTGCCTCTCTTAAGCATTCATTTTCATACCGAATTCTCCAACATTGAACTCTTGATTTTCATACCAAATTCTTCATTTTCGCTCTCTCATATTTCATTTTCATACCAAATTCTCTCACATTGCTACTCATTGATTTTAATACCAAATTCTCAAACATTGCTACTCTTTGATTTTAATACCAAATTCTCCAACATTGCTACTCTTTGATTTTCATACCAAATTCTTAAACATTGCTACTCTTTGATTTTAATACCAAATTCTCCAACATTGCTACTCTTTGATTTTCATACCAAATTCTCAAACATTGCTACTCTTTGATTTTAATACCAAATTCTCCAACATTGCTACTCTTTGATTTTCATACCAAATTCTCCATTTCCGCTCTCTCATATTTCATTTTCATACCAAATTCTTCATTTCCGCTCTCATATTTCATTTTCATACCAAATTCTTCATTTTCGCTCTCTCATATCTCATTTTCATACCAAATTCTACATTGCTTCTCTTTTAACTTTCATTTACATACCAAATTCTCCATTTCCACCATTTTCACACCTCTACATCCCAGTAGCAGAGTTCAAACTTGATAGTTGAAAAAAGGCTTATTACTAAACTATACTAGCTATGGAATTCTTATCTATTTTTGTGGAAAAAGTCACAGGTTGCTTGATGCAGCCAGTTGCGCGAGGGATTGGGTATTTATATTACTACAAGAGCAACATCAGATGTATGGATAAAGATCTGAGAAGCTGAAGAATATCAAAAGTGAGGTGTAGGAAAGAGCGGAAGTTGCCCGGAGAAACTTAAAACGCATTTCACGCAATGGCGAGGCTTGGTTAACTAGTGTTGATACCACTATTGAACATGTGGAAGCTGTAAGTCAAGGTTCAGCTGAGGTTGAAAGGGGTTGCTTTTATGGTTGGTGTCCAAACCTGAAGTCACGTTACTCGATGAGCAGGAGAGCTGAGAAAATTACACTAGAGTTGATTGAACTTCAAAATGAAAGCAACAGGCCTGATGTAATCTCTTTTGATCATCCAGTTCAAAGTGAGGCTATACCTAGTAACAATGGTGAGGTGTTTGACTCCAGAAAATCGAAAGAAGATGAGGTCATGGCAGCTTTAAAAGATGACGGGGTCACTATGATTGGGATATGTGGTCTGGGTGGTGTTGGTAAGACAACACTGGCTGAGAAAATCAGACAAAAGAGGAGTCGGGCTGAGAAAATCAGACAAAAGAGGTGTCGGGCTGACATTAGAAGGGAATGATATGTCGAGTCGTGGAGATCAGCTGCGTACAAGGTTAATGGATCAGAACAGCCGCACTCTTGTCATCCTGGATGATGTTTGGGAGGCTCTTCATGATCTACACAAACTTGGAATTCCCAGCGGTAGCAATCATAACTACCGGTGCAAAGTGATATTGACGACGCGTCTCCGACCCGTTTGTGAAGAAATGGAAGCTCAGAAGATCATGGAAGTTGGAACTTTACCTGAAGAGGAAGCATGGATCCTTTTCAAGGAGAAAGTCGGTAATTCAGTCGACGATCTTTCTTTGCTTGACATAGCAAAAGATGTTTCCAAAGAATGCAAGAGATTGCCGCTTGCAATTATTATAGTTACAGGAGCACTAAAACGTAAAACCAAGCCTTTCTGGAAGGATGCCCTTAAACAATTACGTGATGTAGAAACAAGAAATATCCCTGGAGTGCACACAAAGGTGTATAAATCTTTGAGGCTAAGCTATGATCACTTGGAAAGTGATGAAGCCAGGTACTTCTTTTTGCTTTGTTCATTGTTAGAGGAAGATAGTGATATTTTGATTGAAGAATTGCTTAAATATGGAATGGGGCTTCGCATCTTTTCGGGAATTGAAAATTTAGAAGATGCAAGAAATAGGGTGTATCTTCTGTTAGAAATATTGAAAGATGGTTTCTTGTTATCCCAAGGTTCAGACAAAAGTCATGTGAAAATGCATGATGTGGTCCGTGATGTGGCTATAAGTATTGCGTCCGAGGGAGAGCATAACTTTAAGGTAAGTCACCATGTGAACTCAAAAGAGTTCCCAAGAAAAGACTCTTACGAGCAATATAGTCATATGTCAATTGTTGCAAATAAATTTGATGAGCTTCCTAGCCCAATCGTTTGCCCAAAACTGAAGTTTCTAATGTTAAAACTCTGTTTTGGAAAGCCATTGAAATTACAGGATGATTTTTTTTATGCAATGAGTAACCTCAATGTCATAAGTCTCAACTCCATTCTGTGTTTACCAGCATCCATTCGGAGGTTGTCAAGTCTGAGGACGCTGTGTCTGAGTAATATAAGGTTGGGTGACATATCCATCATTGGGGAACTTGTCACTTTAGAAATTCTCAACATAAGAGGATGTCAGTTAGAGGAGGTGCCAATGGAAATAGGAAAACTGACCAATCTAATTATGTTAGAGTTGCGGAATGAAAGACTTAAAAGGATTTCAGCAGGGGTGTTATCAAGACTAGTTCGATTGGAGGAACTACATATGGTGGGAGTAAAACATTGTAGTTACTCCATCTTGAGTGAAGTGGAATCCTTATCGAGATTGACTACATTGACATTAAGTGAGTGTTCCGAAGATGTGATCTACATCCCCAGTAACTTGGACCTTTCCTCCAAGTTTGCACGGTACACTCTTACAGTGGATGAAGGACCTTACACTTCGGGTCCATTCATTGATGATTACGACAAGAATATTGTTTTAGTGGTCACGAAGACCACCCCATTGGGTAATTGGATCTGCCACCTGTTGAAGGAGAGCGAATTTGTAGATTCATACGGAAAGGGCTCTAATAATGTGTTGACTGAGTTGCAACTGAATGAATTTCAGAACGTGAAATGTCTCCTACTCTCTAGTTGTGATTTAGTGACACATTTATTAAAGAGGACACATGAAGTAATCAAGTTCCCCAATTTATATAAGTTGCAACTTGAATCTCTGGAATGCCTCACTCACTTTTGCAGTGACACTGTCGAGCGGATTGAGTTCCCTCAATTACGGAAAATGTGCTTTGCTAATGTCATGCCCCGAGCCTACACCCTGGGCGGGACCGGCACCCGGAGACCATTTCTGGCCCCAAGCGAACCCTTGGCCTGACTTTCTTAACTCAGCGGAAACCTAACCCAACAGATTAACTCAATGCAAATGCAAAGTTACAAAACAACTTAACTTATAAAATCTGGCCACAAAGGCAACTCGAATCTCAAAATAGAATATTTACATATATAACATATATGAGAGACTCAAAACTAACTGACTAACTGTTTATGAAGACTCTA